GTCTCATGCGAAGAAAGGAGTCTCTCCGGCGACAGAGAAGAAGTTTGACCGCAACAGTACGGCTTCAACGTCTCCAGGGCATAAGGGCGCGAAACGTGAGCGCACAGCAATTGCTGACAACGAGCCCGATGCGGAGAGTTTACGCTTGATTCGCGAATTGCAGGAGCAGGAGTTTGGCTTGCGCAAGCGAACTGCGCGAGTTTGAACTGGGTTGGGCTCCATAATTTGGCTCATATTGAAGCGGTACTATCCATGACGGTTATGACTTCATTTTCCTTTGTCTTTCTTTCTTTCTTTCTTTCTTTTTTTCTTAGGTATCCCAGGCCGGCAAATCGGCAAGGTTGAGAGTGAGAGCTGAGAAAGCGGGATTCACATGTTGTGGTTTGGCATTTGGGAAACATCAGGCGGAGTTTCAAGCGTCAGATTTCAAGGTCATCTTTTGCTCTTTCGGTCGTTTTACAGGATTTCGCACATGGCGTTCCATTGCAGGCAAGGGTCTCCCGGGGTAATTGTTGGTTTTGGGGGTCTTCATTGCATCAACCGTTTTACCACACAGGAATTACCTTGCTGATTGCTTCAATTACCTTTTTCTTCCCTTCATTGATTATCGATTCCTTTCTCGGCGTTTACGTGCGTGTATATGGGACAACCCGGCTGATAACCCTGATGTATTTCGTCTCAAGAGATTCATTCCATTCATTCGTCTTTTTCTGGCCAGTTTTCTTAAACCATTGATTTCAACTTGCACTTGCTTACCCCGGACTCTTCTGTGTGTTGGAGGGATTAATCGAAGGTTGGAGTCTGAGTCTAGCTGAATTCGCGATCGTTCTCGTTTCTTTCCTCCCTCCTTACTAAACGGCCAATACCTCTTTGCCCATCTTGGGGATTTGAGTACTTCGTTTTCTGTGTTGGGGTTGGTCATTCTACCTTGGCAAGCAAGCTTCTGATTGTTATTGGGTCTTTTCTGTAGGGTTTCCTAGTAATTGAGCGCAATGAGGATTCATCTGAAATCAGTCCCAATCCCAAGCCCAAATCTTCGAGGAATATGTTAAGTCGATTCTTTCTATTTCGAATATTTCGACTTGGTTCACATCGCGTCTTCCGAGTCTATCCCTATAAAATCAACATTCATATGAACCGCAACACCAGTCCCACTGCGTGAAAAACAGATAAAGCATAAGGATCCCAGCAACTCCGCCTTCTGGCTGCAGAAAACTCCAGCATCAATATAAAAGGAAATCTTGTGTCTCATCATCCGTCATATGCGTTGTCGTTTAACCGTCTAGCTCCAGCTCCCGGCCTTGACAAGCAAACAAGAAAACTTGAGGGTATATGCGATAAATGCAACAGATACAAACACTGAAGCAGGGCTTCCCCCGCTGATACGCTAGGTTGTCCATTTGGAACATATTCAAACAAACACCGCTTCAACGCCATCCAGGGCAGTGATGCTTCGCTTGAGAAGTTACCAGATCAGACTGGTTTCTCGTGGGGCAGGGGGTTCGACAGGCGCTTGGGCCGCATCTTTTCGCCCACCCAATCTTTAATCACGCAAGGATCCTCGTCGGGTCCTTGACACACCTTGCGGCGGTCGAGATGCTTGAACCGTGGGCCCAGGGGACCGTTGACGTAGTGATACTGGCCCGCGAAGCGATACTGTCGACGATCTCCCAGAGGATAGAACTTATCTCCCCAGTGACCGTTAAAGTAGAACCACTCCGTAGGGGCCAACGGGCTGGCGGTGGATGCACGCAACGTGTCATTCGCATGATCATACGTATACATGTGCGAATTCAAGAGGGGGTCCCAGAGAGGTCCTCGGTCCGTTTGGTCATGAAGAAGACCCCAGGGTAGAACATACGAATGGACACCAGGAGTGGCATACATGGCATGCGTACCCACTGCGGAATATATGACTGGCTACATAGTGGAAACGACTGATTAGTCTCTGACCCAATGAAATCACTAAGTGTGGGCGTCGCAACTTACCCGTTGTCCGATTTTCTCGACCGCTTCATAACTATATGCCTCGCCTGCGGAATGCGCACTAAAGAAGAGAGCTTTAGGCTCGCCGTTATAGAAACGAACGAGGCAATGCTCCCAGTCGCCGATGTGATTGCCGAATCGCACGTTCAGAACCACATTTCCGAGATTGAAACTGTAGAAGAAGAACCAAAAGGCATCAACTACGCCGTTACCCTTGTCCACCACGAGCAGCACTGCAGGCGCGTCACTTCGGCCTCCGGTCTCTTGCATCTTTATCGGTTCGCCACCGTACCGTTTCCGCAGCTCGTCCCTGACCCTCTCGTCCTGGAGAAGATCCTCTGGCTTGGAGTAACCGAGATCCTCCAATGGCAGTGTGGCGGCTTCGTCTTCCGACATTGATTTGTGATTTGTGTCATACCATTTAAAGCGACCCTCAGGTGTATCTCCTGAAATGGCCCCGTCCACTCGACCGTCCCAGTCAGACCACGATTCTTCAGAGTGCTCATCTGGCGAAACAGGGATATTCTTTTCTCCTTCCATCCACGGGGGGCGTTCCTCAACATCATCATTACTGGTCAAGAAGACGTTGCGACCATTCTGCCATTGGTTCAGTCGGTCCAGATCTTCCAACGTCGGATGAATCAGCTGCGACTGCACCGGTGTGTAGTTTAACATTGGTGTGACGTGGAACAGATGCTCTGCGATATCACATGGCCAGAACTGCTCATTGGAGAAGAGATGCACAAGAGGAGCGTATTCAAAAACATAGTCTGGAATCTCTCTAAGCGAACGTTCGGCATCATCCCACTGATTCGTCAGTTGCTCCTGTTCTCGGAACCAAAAGGTCCGCCACGGAGCGGCCTCCTCTTGCACCAAGACAGAGGTATTGGGCTCCCGGACGAATTTGCGCTGACCGAAGCGCGGACGAACCGTGCGGAAATGAGCGGTACCGCAGAGACTCAGCCAACGACAGGCTTTGCGGTCAAACCACGACCGGGAGGATGCGATCCAGCGCTGCTCATCCCTGTCCTCATCGTACCAGATGAATGCCGACGGATTCAAGGCACGTAATAAGCTATTGATCGAGACATAGGCGATCAGTGAGGACAAAATGATAATTGTGCCTTTCGCTTTGCCAATCATCTGCTCCACAGCCAGGGAGACAGCCCCGACGTTGGAAGTACTTGATCTAGAAGGGTCAGATAACGAGGGGTCGGCCTGGTGATTTTGGGCAGTGCTGGTAGAGGTGACAGCGGTGGTTGTAGTAGTAGTAGTAAGGCTTAAAGATTTCCCAGATTGGATTGCACGGCCAGGCGCAAGTGAGATCAGGATGGTCAAGGAGGACTCCTCAGAAGGAAATGAGGGAAGATGAGGGTCATGAGAGGTGACTACGGGGCAAAAGACGGAGAGGGTGCATAAGAGAGTCAGGGCAACCAGGCCCGAAGATGGAGGGGACGACACTATAAGAAGGCATTGCCAGGTTAGCAGTGGTCGAGAACAGCTATGACTGGTACCACTACCGACTTCAGTGAGGGATCCCGTGAGCAACGACCAAGTCAGGGTAAATAGAAGGAGGGTAAAAAGAGTTTAGATGGACAAAAGAGGAAAGAAAAAAACCAGGAATCATCCAGTCAGAATGAGGGACCGGGTATAACGGAAGCAGATTAGATAATTGTGAGGGCCATGAAGATGACAGAGACAGATGGAAAAGACTGTAAAGAAAGAAGATCATTCTTCTATGGAGAACGTGAGGGCAGCAAAAGTGACGGATGCATCTGGACAGTGGATAGTGAGCGTGGAATCAGCTCCTTGCTTCCGCGCAGAGCCGGATTGACGAGTGTGCCAATGATGCAGGCGGACAAGGGAGGACAAGAAGGGCAAATCGGATCGGCAAGCAGGCAAGTATGAACCGAACAGGGAACACGAAGATGGATCATCATTCATCAATAATGAGTGCAGACTGCAGAGTGATAGACTAGGTGCATGGGGATGTCTCTGAACGGAAGACGACGGAAGTGGATAACACCATCGGTGATCTTCCGTAGGGCAGAGGATTATTAATTGATTGTATTTGTTGGTATTGCAGATGGATATCGATGGAAACATGGAAACAATTGATGATGACATTAAGGTAGATGATGATGATGATGATGATAAAATACAAGCGACTTACTTTGTTGATGATTACTGGTTAGCAGAATTGGTTGGCCTTTTGGTTGATATGGAGGGGTAGATAGATGGATGGATGGATAGGGAGGGATAGGGAGAGAGGATGAAACCGGAGAATGGAATGGGATTAAGTTGGGAGGATGATGGAAGAATGAATGAATGAATGCAGTCAGAAAAGAAAGAGAGAGAAGAGACAATAGAAGGATGAGATCACCAGGGACGATCCAGAAGGAATTGAGTTTCATCTTTCCAGAGAGGAGAGTCATGGGGAAGATCATGATGACAGTGTTTTGTCCAACACAGCACTCTATCTAGACATTCGGTAGTAAGAGGAAGAGAGGAAGAATGATAGGTAGGTAATTCTTTCATTTACAATGGATAATAAAACAATACCATATCACATAAGTTACATGACAGTGATTGTTGATAATCCCACCTAGACTGTCATCTTATCATGGTTCAGCCCTGTGGAAATCAAACATCGTCATCATCCTGCCCCTCATCAGCATCAGCATCAGCATCAGCATCAAGCAACAACATGCTAGTCTAACAGTGGTTAAATAACAAGTCAGTGACCGCTTGGTTCCCAGTTCCAAAGTCCCACAAAGGCGTTATCCACCGGATCCAGTGGAGTTCTTCTGCCCGCCGCCTTCTTCCGTTTCTTCCTTTCGCGTCGCCAGGGAAAGAAAAAAGGGTCTCGACTCTCAAGCGCTGTCTATCTACTCTACTGTCATTCTAAAATCCTGGTTCAAACAGGGTTTGATCTTCAAACTCTGAACTCGTTAGTCGTCTTTTCCAGCTAGCTGTCTAGCTGTTCATGCCCAATGATTCTGCCGGCCTAAATCATGCAGTCTCACTCGGAGCCGATATTGGTCTTGGACCCGGCCATGTTGGCAGATGAGGATGACTCCGAGTACGAATATGAATACCACGAGGTCGACACCGAGGTATGATTGATTGCCTGTCCCTTTCTCGCTTTGAAGAGTTCGCTCGAGCTTATTTTTGTTTCCCGTACGGTCAGACCTTCTACCTCAACCTCGACCTCACCTCCCTTCACGGACCCATCCGTCCTCCCAGACGCCGTGACCCCGCTTCGTCTACTGCTGCAGTTCCAACTACCCCGACTGCCACCACCAGTCCGGATGCACCGTCCCTATTCCCTGCTCCGTCCGATGACCATGAGCCAGCCATTGACAGCACCGAGCCTGGCAACGTTCCTTCAGAGCGCTTCCAAATCCTAGGCCTTCACACCCCCAACCCATTAGTCTCGTACCAAAATCAAATCTTCAGCTGCTCATGGGCAGACCAGATCGGGACAGAGCTGCTCTTCGCTCGTCCAGAGACGGGTCCCGAGCCTGACCTAGAGTCTGCATTGCCGCAGATCTCTCCATTGAGGCGCGGCAAGGATTTTGACCTCATTGCCGCCAACAGCGTCAAAATTCTCGGTCGCAAAGCGAACCTGATCTCCAGTTCCGGCTTAGGGTCAACTCAGGAGCCCTCGATACAAACATCCGAAACGGCGAACGTGGTCCGCAAGACGGTACCACAGTCGAATCAAGCTCGGTTCCTAGAACGACTGATGCACATCAAGAAGCAAAAGGGCGAGACGGACACTGTGCGCACTGTCTTCAGTACGAAACGCACCCAGAATCTGGAGGATCGGCTACGGGGCTGGGCTCGGACAGAGGAGCAACTTGCAGAGATCCAGCAGCTCAGCGAAGCTGCGATTCAAGGAGACATCGCAGCGTTGACTGCGCTGGAAGAGCTCTACAATGAAATTAATGGCCAGAACTTGGGGTTGGGGCTGTCGGACCAACCGACCCAGCCCCGTTGACGTGCCTACGGAGTTCGCCTTTGTTGTCGACCAGTCACTTGCGACATCAACTTGAATTGATTGCAGGATTTGCCATTGCAGTTATATGGCCGATTGGCCGATTGTGTGCTCATGTTTTGGCACAAGCATCAGACTTCGATGAGAATCGATCTGCCAATTGCTCACGTGACGAAATCCGAATCCCCAGCCGAGGATGAAGAATCAGGTCGGTAACACACACGGATGAACCACAGAGGCACTCCCTCGGCCTTGCTGTGCAGTGCGCAATGGTTCAATGGTAACCGAATTGGGCCTCGGATCGAATCAGAACCTACGTGATTCTCTGGGCCCGCTCTTGCCGCATTCTCGACTGATGTGACCAACTTAGGTTGCCATATGTTTGTCCATTATCTTGATCCTGGACAAGGATTGAACCGGAAGAGCCCGTGCATCATCATAACAATGCTTACGTATGATGCGTCAACTGAATCCCATCCTCTTGTGCAACAGAACTGTGTGCCTCCAGCGACCCATTCTATTATGCTGACATACCAAGCGCAACCTAGTTCGTGGATGCATCCTATGAGACGGAAATGAAACTATGAGATGTGATTATGAAGACTCGCTAGCAAGTCGATCTTATATCACGTTGTAAACGAGTCGCACCGCCATGAAAATCCGAACCAAATCAATAATGACAGTCAATACCTGCTTTTCCAAACCGAACCAATTCCTAACGTACTCTAACAGAACCATCCAGAAAGAGATGAGACTCGCTGAAAAAGTAAAGGGGAACAAAAAAAAAAAAGGAACACCGTAAAATCCGGCTCCGCAAAACAGCACCCTAGGAAGAAGCATCAAAGTCGCAATGCACAGATATATGGTACTTCATCGCAGCCAAGGCAGCAGCTGATGGTAACGGTCAAGCTCGTTTCCCCTCTCGCCCCCAGAGACAATGTGTTGTTCTTGACTCGACGGGGGACGGAGGAGGTGGAGGGGGATACTCCAGCGCCGCGCGAGGATCTGAGTCGAGATGGATGGATTTGGGGCCGTCGGCGGACGCGAGAATCGCGCGGGAGATGTCCTGGGTAAAGGTCGAGGGTGTCACGAGGGTAGGACGGGAGTGAGGATGTGAAGGGATGGGTGAGGCCATTGCGACTGATGCTTCTGGTTGTATTGTTGTTGTTGGGAATGTGACGGTGGCCCAGGTGAGCTTGGATAGTCTGATGGAAAGATACTAAGATAGGTGTATGATGCTGTAGAGGTACGATTGGGAAAAATGGGGTATGCTGGCTGAATGAAGCTTGTATAAATCTACATGGATAGGATACCCTTGTTAGCTACGTTATATTCCGAAAGAGGTGCCTCCGAGAATCCCCGATGAAGGAGTAGGGCAGAACAGAATGAGAAGAACAGCTCCATCGCCGAATGCCATGTGATGTAATCTTTGAGTCTTTGGAGAAGGCAAATCGCTCGTGAAGATCCTTCATCGGGGACAGGGAAATGAAAGCAAACGGAGAAAAGCTTACCTGGACTGGGTGTACACTGGAGGATGATCCCGATGATGTAATGATATACAAGGTCCTTGCAAGGTCAAAAGGCTGCTGAGTTGTACAAGCAGCGTGGTATGGGCTAAGCGAGAGAACAGTCTCAAGTCACAGCAGCAGATGATATGACAGAGATATTGTATGGAGAGAAGGTGCAGTGAGCTGAGGAAACTCAAGCTGTGGATACGACACTATGGGGTGGGCTGGTAGCTGTAAGCTGGTGAGCTGTCCACAGGGAACCAGAATAGAGAACGTAGAAATAAGCTCTGGAAAAACTGGAGAAGGCAGTAGAGGTGAAAAGTAAAAGAATGATCAAGTATCTAAGGGACATGGAGAGAAACCCAGCCGATATAAATGAGAATGGGGACCCGGCCAGGAGCTAGTGTGCATTGCTGAAGCATCCAGTCAAACATCCATAGATCATTTTAATCATATCGGATAAATATTAGTGTTATTATTATTGTTATTTTTCCAGTCGGATATCCCCATCACCCTCTTGTAATGCACGTCGCCTAGGTCCAGGCAAGTGTTTGACCGTTAGGATCATCGCCCTAAAAGGGATCCAGGGTATTTCCCCAAAGTACCAAGGCCTTCGCCCTGCTTTTCTGGCATGTATGAATGAGGTTTCATCCCAGAACTAGGGACTAGAGTACTGGACTACTACCTAGTACGTAGTAGTAATGGTCCGTTGGGTATCCAGGCGGACGTTAGTGTACATCGCGCATGCTTGCCACGACGGAACGGAAGGGGCGGAACGTAACCCGGTGGAAAGGGAAAGCTGTGTTGTCTTCCGGGGGAAAAAAGGAAGACCACCTTTAGGTACGTAGTTAGGTAGTCTTGGAGTGGCAGAATTAGGAACAAAGGGGTGAGATGGAGGAATATGTAAGTAACCTGAATACATGCCTGATAGGCAGGCGAACAGCCGGTGGAGAAAGGATTAAGCTGAAGAAAGTATGGAGATTGGAGAGCATACGTGTGCATTTGATGGAGACTGTGGGGGGGGAAAGCCTTGAAGGAGCTGCCAAGTCTTACACAATAATTGCCAAAAGCTAGGCACTTCTCTATCTACGACTGTAAGGAGCAAAGGGAGAATTCGAAAGGGACGCCAGGAGTCCGGGACAGATCGAATCAGGGATTTCTGCGACAGATTTGGATCATTACTGATTCTTATCCAGGAGATGGTACCGCAGACATGTCATAATTTTGTGTTGACTTGGTACTTATTATTATTTGTCTCGAAGGTACGAGAGTACTCCGTCCTTGTTCCAGAATCAACATCCACTGCTACCTTACGGCCAGGATCAGGCAGAAAGGATGTCAACCTAATCCATTGATGGAGTAGCCTGCCATACCAGCAGAGAGAGAAAGTAAAAGTAAACGAAATTCTTTGAGAGCATTCTATGAGAATGGGAAGTAGACTAACTTTCTCCTGATTAATGGAAGATGTAACCGTTCTGGAAAGCTAGACTAAACTGTGTTTTTATGTTAATTCCCGAAATTCTGGGGAAGCTCCTTAAGGGATCCATATTAAAGACCAGCTATATCCAATAGACCAGCACAATTATGCATGCATATATCAATACTTACGCAGGAGGCGGCGATCGGCTTGAAGCTAACCAAACCATCGGGGACGTAGGATAGAACTTTGGAAGAATCAAGGATCCCAATACTAGATAATAGGGGAACCACCATAAGGAAGATGATTTCCTCATGCAGGCTGATCCTTTTTATTCAATTCTACTTTCTGTAGCCAACATCATCAGATCCATTAAATCTCGATACATGCTACTAGTAACCTCGCAGAACGGGAAAATATTATTAGGGGGCTTCAAATGCTTCAGCCATGGCTTATGCTCAACAACTCTGCTACAGGTCTTTGTCCCTAGTCTCCAGCCTTTTTTGAGAAAACTCCGATAAGTAGCCGATGTCACGCCGTGCTTTTACTGTTCTCATTGTTAGTCGACTTCTATCCTAGTGGTCTGCCTTTACTTCATCCCACTTCATATCATTCCGCTGAGCCCCAGCCTCACCGTGATACCCTATCCTACCCTCATCATCTGATCTATCTACATGGTCTGATGCTCCCGGTTGAATTTAAACTTTTACAGGTTTCAACCAGCTTCTAGAAACCCGGAAAGAATCATTAATTTGTGGATACTGGATTGACCCTTCGGGCCATATTCCCTTTTGAATCCTTCGCCTTGTTTGCCCGATTGGGTTTGAGAAAACCTCATAATGTGACAGTAGATACAGAATATTCCGCTTCTGAATACCTTACCTTCGATGGATGGAAGATTCGATAGTTAGATTGTTGAGAACAGAAGTACCTACCTTTACGTTCGATCGTAACCTCGGCATATGATTAGACCGATTCGTTTCTTTGTTCAGCGATCGTATTCATAGACTACCTAAGGTTGATAGTGTATGGGGTTCGGTATCTAGAATGGGTGCTAACTGCTTGAGACCGTCTTGGAGAATGCGTTGCGCGATATTCAGCCCTTCCTCCTACTGGATCTGCCTTAGGATTGCTCGAGTATCCTGAAGAAGTTATCCGTACTCATTTGCCATTCTTGAGTATCTGAATCTATTGTCTTTTAGTTTAGTTGGAATCCAGTACATGCGACCATAGGGTGTGGAAAACAGGGCTTCCTGTCTGCTCAGCTATACTTAAGCTAGTATCATTAATATAGCTAGAAGTTATATACACCCTTAAAGATTACTCCCCTCTGCCTTGTACCATGGACAAAGATCCACAAATGGAAAAGCACCGGCGTCAATGAGATCGCTTAGGCCATACTCAACACAATTTCTCGATTGCTCCCACTGCCAGAGCCTTGTCAGAAAAGATTTTATCAAGGTCGCCGAGCTGCTGTATCCAGTATAAAATGCTTCAGCCGTTCTGTAGCTGCCATGGCTAATCCCAGCTCCAACGGTGAGCATGAGAACATACTTGCCCTCAAACAGCGAGGGTGTTGCCTGTTTGACCATCATATGCTTGAGAATGTCAGGAAATTCATGACATCTGTTCCGCCAAACTGACACGACTTGCTTGTGTTCCCTTGCGTATCTTTGTATTCGTCCCCACAAGCTATGAGGGACATAGATGTGTATTAACCATATGCTGCTCTGCTAGATAATCTGGAAACCACCAGTTGGGGAAGTTTACATAAAAAAGGAGCGCTTGCTGGAGACACTCACCAGTCATCTGGTGTAAAATTAGTTCTCTTGGCTTCTTTATTTTCAGACCATATATTCCGGGGCTGTGAGCCGAGTTCCAGCCTGTTGATATAGTATAGGCCGTGGTGTGGTGAGGGGAATATAAATCCTCACGAGGGCAGTGCCAGTGCCACACGCTAAATATCATATCCTTGAGCTGAGAACTGTCAAAAAGCGCATGATCCTTTGCATTATGGGATTGTAACCGTATAGATACTTTGCTACATTGGCAATGAGTGTTGCTCTGTGTCGCTAAAA